AATAAAGTTATCTCGCTTGTATATAAACTTAAATTTTAGAAAAATGTTAATGAAGTAATGAAGAAATAAAACTTAAAGGAATAATAAAATATGACAGAAGTTAAAGAATATTTAAACGAAAAGACATGAAGAGAAATAACTAAAAGTATTGAAGAAAATATTAAAGAATAATAAGGAGAAATAACATTTGGAAAACACATTCATAAATAATATTCGGAAAAAACATTTAGAAGTAACATTCGGAAGAATTAGTCAGAAGAAATAAAGAATTATTATGATTTAGAAATAATGAAAGAAAGAGAATCACAAAAGAATAAAACACTTTAAAGAATAATTTGACTGAAGATTAGATGACAATAACATTGAAAAGAAATTATCAAAGGAAATTATCGCTCAACGTGAAGGAAAAGACTCTCAGCAATTAAAAATTAATTTGTAAAACAAATCCTTTTGATGACGAGTGGCAGAAATGATCAAGAAGGATATGTTGAAGCTTATCAAACTCAAAAATGCTATACATTTGTAAAACAAGGGTTATGCCAACTACAGCGCAGAGAATTCTATTGAAATGTTGAATTTTTTATATTATAATCATCAATAAAATTGAAATTTTATATTTTTACTATATAAAAATTTTTTTTTGCATATTTTGCATTTTTAGTAATTTTAAAATGCATAATTTTTAATTTTGCATCGCACGAACCCGTGGGCTCTAACCAGGATGGAGTTACCCAATTCTCCATCATAAAAGGATGCATTTTATAAATCAAATGGTATAGTCAAAACAGTAAGTGTATTTTCAAGTGAAAAAAGAACCAATCGAGATGTTATGCACCCGAATTTTGGATGCTCACCATGTTAAGATATTCTTCCAGGTTCCCACATTCGTGCTTTATATAAATAGTTTGTTCAATAAGGATAAACGAATTTACAAATATTGACAATAGTCTTCAGGCATTCAAGATTTTTGGTACCTGAGAAAAAAATTGACTAGGACGAACACATAATCTTACAAGCTGTCAATAATTTTTTTAAAGAAAATGTCTATTGACAGGCTTTAATCCCGAAAGAAAAGTGGTTCTCAAAGCAACATCACAAAATTTGCCATCGAATCAATCAATTTTTTTGAATTTAGAGTGAATTGTTTGTTTCTTCAATAGTGAAAATATCCGAATTCGCAGAATACATATATCTATATACCAGTAATTTTTAAAAAATCTTGATTGTTCAAAATAACTTACATTCTAAAGAAATATTCATACATTCATTTGATCATCTGAAGAAGTACTATTTATTAGTCGTCTAAGCTGGAAATCCTTTCTGCAAAAGACAAAGGTTCAATATCCTGAAATTGAAAATGCATTATATGAATGGTAAATAAGCGTTTACTGCTTTAGAATTGTTAAAAATCTATTTTTACAGCAAGATTTAAGTGATAAATTTAGGAAAACTTCGTATTGAAACAAATGAATATTGATTTTTTTTTAATAGACACTAATTAGTTTAGGCAAACACCGCCTGGAAGAAAGTATCGGATCTTATAATGGTAAAAATTTAGAAATAATGTTCTTGACTATAATAGCATTCTGATACTACAGGAAATATTATTTTATTAATCAATATACTTAAGTGTTTTAATATATCTTTAGCTCGTCAGTAATTTTATTATTATTTTGTCAGAAGCTTGCTTTGATGATGATGCTTCTAAAGGTAAGTTTGCATTTCTTGAGATTTATTGTAATTTGAGAAAATAATCCCGACTCTATAAATAAACAAATTAAAGTTTGATAAGCTATTCTTCTTCCTCCTCTTGTTGTTGTTGATGTATTCGTATGAGTAAATAAAGCTTTTCAAATTCAATTACAAAAATAAAAAGATTTATTTGATCGATCGAGACGACAAATCAAATCGACAAAGAAAATTCTCATGTGATTTTATAGTAAATTCACTTTTAACTTGATGAATGATTTACTACTCGTGACTCTAAATTTTATTAGACCAATAGTCAAAGATCGATCTAAATGAAAAGAACTATAGATCTCCGATCTTTTTTTAAAAAAACCATAGATCGGGATTGGGTCTAGGAAAAAAAAACATTAATGAATCAATAACAAATATTGGCAAATAAAAGTTAATTAGGTAATCATTTGAGTTTCTCGTGTAACATTCCCCTATTTAGAAAATGGATTCATTGTAAAAATTATTTGAATCAAAATTCAAACGAACAACATTCTTTTTAATAAAAAGTTTTTTTTTTTTATTTATATATATTTATATTTTTTTTTTTTTTTTTTGGTGAAAAAGTAAAACAAAATCATAACGGGAATGCTACCATCAATACCTTCAAAACATATTATTCTATTTTTGAGCTTGTTATTTTTATTTTACTTCTCAATTTCTGTTGCTGGCATCGAAAATGAAATACAGGTAGACCTTATTTATTTCCACGTTTATTGAATCTACATTTATGGTTTAATTTTGACATTATCATCATTATTATTATTGATAGTCAAGGGCTGATGACATATGCACCACTACAGAATATCAGAACAAGTATCAAAATTACATAGAGACATTACGTAAAAAAGTCAAAGTTGAAAAGGTTGAGCTTGAGAGACGAGAACAAATCAAGTTAGAATTATCGCGTGTTGATGCGCTTAAAAATTTAACTTTTGGATTATTAGATATCTTTGATAAAATAATCGATGAACATGGTATTGATGATTCATTATCCCAACCGGATTTTCAAAAAGTTATTTTGAAATTGATTTCAGCATTTCATCATACTGCCTTAAAGATGAATGATACAGCATTTTTAGAACAAATATGGAATCAATATCAAAAACACAATAAAAATGATACTGTTGGTTTCTTTCATAAAGTTCATAGTTCCAAAGAAAATATTGCTTCTGAAATGGTTGACAATGTACTTCATGGAGTTAGTGATTCTGCAGATATTTTAGAAGAGAATATGCATAGGCATAATTTTGGTGGAAATTCTAAATTGCGTGGATCTCTTGAAACTGTCATTAAATTGGAAGAAGAAGATTATATAAGTGATAATAAACATGATTTGGATAATGGGGAGGAACCTCGTCGTCGAGGTCACGTTAAAGTTATAACAATTGTGGATGCGGACAATAATGAATATGTTTTAACGAGACCAAATGATTTAACTATGTTTTACGAAGGTGAGAATTAATAATTCGTAACGTTTAATTATTGTTAATATTTAATTATTTTAATTGTTTTTTTTTTCATATAAATAGATGCTCGATTGGTTCAAGATTTAATTTTTTTAATAGTTGCAGCATTCATATTTGGTTGGACTTTTAATAGTTTTGGATTACCAGGTAAATTATAATTAATAACCTTATATTATTATTATTATTATTATTATTATTACTGTTTTTTTTTAACATTACCTAAATATAAAATAGCATTTTTGGGATATATAATTGCTGGGGCAATACTTGGACCCGCTGGATATAATGTGATTCAGGAACTTATTCAAACCGAAACACTTTCACAATTTGGTGTTGTATTTATAGTATTCATGTTGGGATTAGAATTTTCATTCGACAAAATAAGATCTATTTGGAGATTTGCCCTTGGAAGTGCTTCATTGATATTCACAGCAACCCTTAGTTTTTTTATCTTGGCAGGATTTATTGTTGGTGCGAGTGTTAATGAATCGATTTTCATAGGAGCATGCGTATCTCTTTCGAGCACTGCCGTTGTTGAACGATTACAATGTTCAGAGTTAAAACCACTTTACGGTTTGCTAGTCATGCAAGATATGTTATTCGGCGTTTTATTGGTAAAAACTAAAACTTTATTTTAATAAATTTTTTGATTTTTATAAATTGCTAATGTTTTTTTTTTTATTTAATTAGGCAGCATTGCCAGCACTGTCAAAATCAGGAATCGATGTTGTTTTGGCCATAGGACGTTTAATTTTATCATTAGTCATTTTCACAACTTTTAGTCTCGCTATTGCAAATATACCGATTGGTTGGCTTTTAAAAGTTGTGAAAGGTTCCGAGAATCATGAACTTTTTCTCTTGGGATCAATTTCAATGTGTTTATTAATGTCACAAGTATCACTAATGTTGGGACTTGGAGTGGAAATCGGATGTTTTGTAGCAGGAGTTCTTATCCATAATCGTAAATCAATATTTGAATCATCAAAAAACGTTGTTATACCTGTTCGAGATATTTTTTCATGTTTATTTTTTGCATGTATAGGATTACATGTTTATCCGAGCTTTTTGATAAACGAAGGACCGTTGCTTTTTACATTAACAGCAGGAGCGATAGGATTTAAATTCATAACTAGTACAATATCATTAACTCTACTTGGACATAGTTTGCAAAAAGCAAGCAAGATGGCAATTGGATTATCACAAATTAGTGAATTCGCTTTTGTATTAGGCAGTAAAGCAAAAGGGTTTGGTATTATATCAAGAGAAGTTTATTATTTATTATTAACAACTACTTCATTATCATTAATGGTTACTCCTATTTTATGGAATATTTTATTTCGTAATAGAAAGGTGGTTTCTAACGTCGAGGGTGGATTAAATGTTAGAAATGTTGGTATTGACTATACAATACCTATTTCTACAAATAATACCGAAAAGAAAGAATAATAATGATAATGGTCATAATAATGATAATAATAATAATAATCTTAATCATAATATAATCTAATATATATCTCTATATATTGATCAAAAACATTTATAATTAATTATATCTAGACCCTTTAATAATTACTATGTAAATGTATTTTTTAAATATATTGTTAACCTTAAGCGAGAGCAAATCTTTGTGCTGCTCTATCAAATAGACTGGTTTTAAGATCAAGATCTTGTAAGAATGCATGATTCGGTGATGTTTCTTTTAATTGACTAATCGAATGTAAAAAGTTCATTAATTTGTGAAGGAAAAAAAAAAAATAAAGAACAAGTTTTTACTTTTTTAAAACTTACTTGATATAACGATTAACTACCTCTTCTGGTTTATTTAATAAATTAGAAACTACAATGAGGTTTACAAGAGTATCTGGATCATCGTTACTCTATTTATATGGATTTTTTTTTTAAAAAGAAATTATTATGTAAAAAAAAAAGAAGAAAACTTCATTGTTCTTTTATATTGTTACTCACTTTATTCAAAGCTTCAAGCAATAAAGGTTCAGCTTCGACATATTTACCAAGATGAATATTACAAACGGCTTGACCATTTAATATTTTTACAGTATTAGAAGAAGGAGATTGAGCAATTTCTTCATAAATATAATAAGCTTCTTGATATTTATCTCCTCCCTGATATAATCAAAAAAAACCTAACCTTAGGATTGTTTTTGAAGAATAACACACGAGTCCCGAATCTCAAACACCTACCGTTTTTAAACCGACCCAAGCTTCAATGAGCTGAGCCAACATTGCATCCTCAGCCCAAGTTTTGGTAGAGGCCAATTCTCTTTTTGCAAGATCTAATCTATCCAATTTTAAATAAATTTGAATAATCAAAGCAACACTATTTTTTATGTATAACCATTTTTATTTTTTTTAAAAAAAAAAAATTTTTAAACATTCAATTCTCAAAAAGTTTTTAACAAATTATCATTTATAATTACCATTCTAAATTCTTATTATGCCTAACAAGAATTTTTAATGCTTCTTCATATAATCCTTCATGATAAAAAATGGTTCCAGCAATAATTTGTACGGTAGGATTAATCGTATTGGTAGGATCACTTAATACTACATCACGAAGTTCTTTTAATGCATCTTCTTTCTTACTTTCTCCGCCACTACCATTATTTAGTCCAACGCTACCACCTGAAGGTTTTGCTTGCAAGTAAATTGCCAATATTTTAACCACTTGTAAATCTATTTCATCAGAACTTTTGATTTCGGATATAACCAAATTATACTTTTGTTGTGCTATATACGCTCTATATAAGTATATTTTGCGTTCCAATTTTGCCGCTTCTGACACTTGAGCTCGTGAATTCGCTTCATTTATTACTTGTTGAAATGATCCTAAAACAAATATGGTTGGAGCAAATTGAATTAGTACTAACCTTTGACAAAGTATTTATTTAAAAATAAAAAGTAGAACCGTTTTTTTTACCCGTATAAAAAAGATTTCGTAAAGCGAATAATTCGTCCATAATTAGAAAAAATATTTACCGAATGAAATTTTTTTTTTTAAAAAAAAAAAAAGTTGTGCACGTGGATTTTGAAGCCATTGAGGATTTCATCTACCTCAATAAGGAATATCCTTTTATGGCCATCATTATCGAATCGATTTTTGAAGAGGAGCCGTTGAAGAACCGAAATTGAAACCCAACCATCATCTGTCAACATTTTGGTCTATATATTGAAACACTTCATTTTTTATGAAGTAAATACATTATATTGATGATTTGTCATAGGGTAAATATTTATGAAGGAATCAAGCAAAGTCCTGTAAAAGGGTTTAAAAGGGATACGCGATATGATTTATAATTCATTTATTTCATATAATATCATATCATTTATTTTATTTTTTTAGCAGAAAATATTCACATAACATTATTTTTTTCTTAAATGGTTTCAGGAATCTAACCACTAAATATTAAATTGGTGAACAATCAACTTTTGCGCTTCCAAGTAATAAACTTTTCGATATATTAAATTTAAAGGCCCAAAAATGTAAATCTGAAATAATACTCTAAATTGTTTAGTCAAATTTAAACTACATCATATCGTATAATCTATAATTTAAATTTGATATAAGCATTAGATTTTTTTATCTGAAGTAATATTTATTCCCATAAAAAAATACTTGTATTCACAAAATATATTCCTTGTGATATTGTGAACACAAATATTACATAAAACTACTCGTAACAAAAAAAATTATTTTCGTTAATTTGTTATTTAAAATATATTTTAGTAGTAGTGACAAATTCTGGAGTCTTTTCAGTCGACTCAGCCGTCGACTGAGTAGAGACTCTCATTTGAAATTAGCGATCATAATTGTATTATTAATATCTTAATATTTAACAAAATTTTTCCAATTTAATTAATGTTGCAAAAAGTAGATAATTGTAAGTTTCATCATAAATAATGTTGACAAGAATTCCATTTGACTAAAAATTTGAAGTTTTATTTTACAGAATCGACTCAGCCGTCGACTCAAACTTACTACTATATTTTAGCATTATTATTCATGATTGCTGAAAGTGTCACGTGATAGTCATGCAATTTTTGGTGTGTAATATGATTGGCTAAAATTTTGCCAACTTTTGTAGATCAACTTATGCATCAACTCTATTCAATTAATTGGTTAATAATGATGTACATCAAAAATTACATCTATCGGAATTGAACAGCCCTAAAAGCTCGAGAATTACTATAACAGTTACTTGATAAAATGGAGGTTGACTCTACAATTAAAGCCTGCAGTAGCTCAGCACAACCTTTCGCAAGTACACCAGGTAACTTTACCATATATAATACATAAAACTTCAATTTTCAGCTACATATTTTAAGACTCTTTTTTCTAAAAAAAAAAAAAAAAAAGGTGATAAACCCACGCGTTTATTGGATTATCTTGGTTACTCATTAAAAAAGACGGTTTCAGGAAATCACTTATATAAATTATATGCCATTTCAACTTCACCAGCAAGGAAACCACTCTTCAAATCACAAGATAGCAGGAGTTATGAACGTAAAATGTTGTTACTATTATCAGAAAAAAGGAAAGGTTCGCTTCAAGAAGAAGTACTTATGACAGGTTTAGAGGTACACGAGTATTATATGATCAAAGAAGAAACATTAAATATATATATTTCAAAGGTTGACACTACTGGATGCACACCTAGTCCAAACATCAAAAATGTTAGAGCGACCAAACAGCTAATTTCTTCATATATTAATTATCATCTGGAAGAAAGAATCCATAAACACGTTAATATCCACGTATTTGCTAGGTCTCAACCACAATACTTATTCACCAAATCATCAGAAAATCCAACGAAACATGTGTTAAGTGATGTGGATTTATTAAAGTGGTGGAAAAAGGTTCTAGAACAAACATTTTCAACCACAAACAATAGTTTGCATGGCATAAAAAAATGGTATTATGTTCCTGGAAATATATCCGAATCAAAAGTGAGATTACTTTATAGGGACGGTAAAGATTGGATTTACGGATATCCTTACGATAATGAGAGTAAAGCTAACGATGTTATACCAAAATTTGATGATGATGCCAAAGCCAGATGGTTAAACCATTTAGACAATAATGATGACATTGATGAGATTGATAATACCACGGTTAAAGAATTTTGGGAGATGATTAGTATTGGTAGCGAATTTTCTTGTGGAAAAGTTGCGGGATTTTTTTGGATACATATTGAATGTTTGACGAGAAAGGATTTAAAAGATGAAGGATATGAGTCTCTTTTATTGAAGAATTTAACGACAAATGTTGGTGGTATTGTGTTTGATGAACAAGAATTTATAGATGTTATACAAAAATTCTTTGATTTAGATTTTTGTAACGAAGAATTTGCTTTTAAAGCAAGTAAATATTGGTGTAAAAATTTTAATGATTCGTGTACTCAAAAAGGAATTAATGACGGTGTTTTAGAATTCGTGGTTGGACTACCACAAAATGAACCCGAAGAATTGTCAACCCAAGGAAGTGTTATCGCCAAGAGAAAATGCACAGTTATTGAAAATGACGATTCGAATTCCATATCAAATGACGCTTCAACTAATAAGGTTAACGTGTTGTCACCCTCTCTTATTAAACGAGTTAAAAAATGAGAAAATACAATTAATCTTCATTCGAATCAATAAACGCTCGAAATTTTTTCTCAAAGTATCCCAAAAAGGTTAAGTCACCCATTCCGATAGTTGTCACGAATTCGTGTCTTTTTAACCATTTTGATCACCATTTTGAATGGAAAGAGTAAATTCAGGTCGGCCCATCTCGGATCCATCTGTTTTTGTCCATATGGCTTTACTTTTTATATTAATCCAACCCAATACAACTTTTGCAGATCATTTCCAACATATTGTGATGATTCTATAATGCTGGCAGAAATGATCGGCATCATTTTTTACGTCCGTCGGAAATTTGTTTTTTTTTGTCGGTAATACGGTGTAACGTGAAAATGATACAATTCCCCCTTGTTTTTCACATTCTATGTATAAAATAGAATGACACGTTCTTTTTATCAAATGAATGTGATTGATAAATAAAATTGTAAAACAATGTAATTTAAATAATAAGTGTTTTTAACTTTCGCCATTTTTTCCCCGTTGTTTAGTTTCTAATAAAAAAAAAAAAAGAAAATTTCAGAATTATTGAGAAATTTAGATAATTTATCATTTAAATCCTTTAAATCCTATAAATAATTACACAATTTACAATGATCTTCAAGGAGTGTTTCTCCAACACCTTTACTTCCATTTAATTTTCCGATAATTTAAATACCGAATTAGAAATTAAAGGATTATTGCAATTATTGCACGCAATTACGTAATAGCTCATTAGTCAAATGACTGACGTGAATTATCTGTAATAGGGATCACAATTTTGATTTATTAAACAAAACCAATTTTTTTTCTTAATTTCAATTTGAATTTCTCAAATTTTTCACGCGCAAATTTACTACCGTTTTTTTTTTTTTTTTTGATTCATTGCCTTTGGTTACATTACGTTCTAGGAAAAAAAGTTGTAATTTTCTTCTTTTTTATCTATGCCGACAATAACAAAGAAATCTTCAAATTCATCGGATTTACCCATCGAATGCTGGCAAGAGGTATTGAAACATGTACCGGTTGAAGATGTGAAAACGTTATGGTCATGTCTAATGGTGAATAGATCAATGTGTAAAATCGTTGCCCCAATATTATGGAGTAATCCTTTTCATCACCTGCAAAAAGCTTCAAGACGTAATCAACCTTCACGAGGAAAGATAGACAAAGAGATTAAATTGAAAGTTGATCAAAAGAATTTAATTGACGTGTACCTTTCTTGCATGGAGAAAACTTCGATTAAAATCCTTCAAGATCATGAAATTCGAATCAAAAGGAAATCGAATCTGGTCCTCACAACATTTGATTACCCAAGCTTCTTGCGTGAATTGAGATATGATATTATATGTGAATCAAGTTCATCTTGGCTTTGGTTAGAACAATTATTGCAACTAGAAGGTATTACGGAACTAGGAATCCTCGAACGGATAAGCGAATATCGAAAATTACTTCTCACTAGAGAACTTTGTAAAATGTTTATAAAGAAAAGCCCTTTAATTACAAACCTCACGTTATCCTATTACGTACCATTTTCTGATAGATCGTTTATGCCTCCAGAGGATTACTTTTTGATTAATAAATTTCCCGGAGCGAATGTCTCTTTAAAGAACTTAAAGAGATTTAAATGTAGCCTATTGATCGATCAATGGAAGGAGATTTCCAAGGATTTAACAAGGATTTGTGGAAAGAATGGAGGTTTAGAATCTTTGGAATTAAAATGCATTGGGGAACCAAGTGTGGAATGGGTTGATGATAAAAGCTTTGTTTACGTCTGCGAATTAATAAGGCAACAAAAATCGCTTCAACACATTAAATTAAATTGTTGTGGAAAGTATTGTAACATGGCCAAAGTTGTCTCAACATTATCAACACACACGGATCATATCAAATCATTAGAATTTATTCATTTAAAATTTAATTCTCATTCTCATGGAATTTCAACAACCTTTACCGATTGTTCTGATTCACCACTTCATTTTATTTCAGAATGTAAAAGATTAAACACGTTAATATTTAAGGATTGTGGTGAATTGGATTATAAAGTATTCTCGATGAAAAGTGCCCCATGGTTTGATCATTTGACAAAATTGGTTTTTGAAGATACTAGCATCTCACCATTTGACATTTCAAGGATTATCTCTTCATGTCACAAATTACATGAATTATCTTGTGATTTGGGCGACGATTTCGGCTATCTGCCAGAGTTTGCTTTAAATTTTCCTTTATCGCTAAAACATCTTACTATAGATGCGATTGAGATTGATGAAGAGATTTTACAAAGTTTTTTGGAAAATATTAAGGCCTCATTGGAAAGACTTAAATTTCCAGCATGGATATGCAGGAGTTTTACAGATCAACATTTATACATCATTTGTGACAAATTAGAAGATTCACTTAGAAGGTTAGATTTAGATTTAATGGCGCCGGAAAATCAACAGCATTGCGTTTCTATTGAAGCCATTCAATACGCAAGACGAAAGATTACGTCGGTTAATATCGAATGCTACTTTAGATATGATACGTGGTGAGCTAGTGTGTATCAATCGTAATACGAGAAATGAGGAATTACTTTTTTTGGATTTTATTTTGGGGGGACATCAAATAAAGGGGATTTTTGAAAACACAAAACGCATCGTAACGTAATTGTTTTTTTTTATATTTAGAAATTCACTCTTGATCGAAATTTGACCTAAATTAGATTCTTTTCGTATTACTCAATGTCATTAATTTGTATACATTTATTGCTTCAAAGTTTTATCTCGTTTCAGGATATGTTCACAAGATACAAATTGAATGATTAAAGAATTGTTTTCGTTTTACCTTGCTTATTGAAAGACAAGTTATTTATAATGGTACATATATTATTAAGGTTATATGTGCAAATTACACGTGATTTGATATATAACGCATAGGGGAACGGACAAAGGTTTCTCGTTAATGTTCTAAATTAAACAATTAGTTTATTATTATGTAATACGATGCGTCTCTATTGACAAAGCCCAAATGGGATTACCATTTCCTTATATACGATAACTTTTCCTCCAGAAAAGATAAAAAAATTTACTTTAAACAGTAAACAAATTTAATTCCTAATTTTCGCGGATGTTACAAAAAAAAAAGGTTTTTCCGTTCGTGTGCTTTCATCAATGAGTCATTAAAAGGCAAATTTCGGAGATTGTTTTTATGTTGTAGATCCATGCCTTATATGAAATTGGAATTGGGGCACGAATTAAAATAAAGTAGTGGTTCTACTTATTAGGAAATCGGGATACCGGTGAAAAATTCTTCATTAATTGGACGCAAATTACGTTAAGAGTAAAAAATACCTGATTGTTTAGAGATTTGTTTGGGAATGGCAGGTTGGCGAGTTTCGTGTATTTTCACGTGACGAATTGTTGCGCGTATCGCAATTTACGCAATTTGCCGATGCATGATGATAAATATATAATAAATATTAACATTGAATATAGTTTCCCGTCCCTTCCAAATACTAACTAGGGTTCTTCGACTGACAATAAATCAATCCATTTACACAACATGATGTGCTTAATGTAACACTTAAATTTTATTTTTTTTTAGAAATCTTTTTTTATCGTCTTATCATAACAGACAAAGGTGTGTAATTTAAATTTGGTGGGAATATGCAAAGCGCGAAAAGTTATCAAATTAGATGAGGGAACCAAACCTAAATCGTACCAGAAGAAAAAAGAAGGGAGAGAGAGACGTAAGGGAGGAAGTTCTAAACAATTACGCGCAGTTACGTTATAAATCACCAGTTTCAATATCGAACTATAATTATGATGACAAGTGTTATTTATATTTTTTTTTAATTCGTTGTTTATGTCTTGCAAGAATAACCGTTTTATCATGAGGAAAAAAAATGCGTAAAGTAATTACTTTAAACTTTATTTAATGTCCCGAACTTATTATATACCATTAAAAATACACTTAATCATACGTTCTATCGTTTGAATTTGCATGTGTAACTTTTTTAACCTGTCGGATTACCGGATTTTGGAATTTTAAAAATATCCCTACTTGATAGTTTAAAAAAAGACTTGATGTGTAAATATTGTAAATCAACTTTAATTTTAACTACCGAGTTTATACTAATACATTCGGTTTGATAAATCATTTTGTGATGATTAGGAAGATAATAGTTAATCATTTGCACAATTTTTATAAAAGGTTTACCTTTTTATTTAAAAGATTTTTTTTTTAAAAAAAAAAAAAATTAATTA